CCCCCCGCCGAGCCCCCCCCACTCCCCGCGGCCCAGTGCCCCCCGCCGAGCCCCCCCCGTTCCCCGCAGCCAGGCGCCCCCTGTTGAGCCCCCGCCCCGTTCCGGGTGGCACCGTGCCCCCTAGCACTGCGCTGGGGCCCCCTAAGGCCGGCTCCCCGCCCTCTCCCACAGTTCGAGCAGCTGGTCTTCCTGTGGATGGAGCGCCAGAAGTCGGGGGGCAACTACAGCCGGTACCGGGCGCAGACGGAGAAGCACGTGGTGCTGTGCGTGAGCTCCCTCAAGATCGACCTGCTCATGGACTTCCTCAACGAGTTCTACGCCCACCCCCGCCTGCAGGTGAGAGGGGGCCGGGGGCGAAGGAGCTCACCCCAAACACCCCCAGTGCCAGCTGCTCGGGGGCGATGGTAGCTCCCAGCTCTGCACAGGCATTGTCCCCGGCCAGGGTTCGGGGGGTCAGCATGGGGCTTGGGGGGCAGGACAGGGTTTGGGGGATCAGTGTGGGGCTTGGGGGGCAGGACAGGGTTCGGGGGTCAGCATGGGGCTTGGGGGCAGGACAGGGTTTTGGGGGGATCAGTGTGGGGCTTGGGGGGCAGGGACAGGGTTTGGGGTAGTCAGTGTGGGGCTTGGGGGGCAGGACAGGGTTCGGGAGATCAGCATGGGGTTCGGGGGGCAGGACAGGGTTCGGGGGGTCAGCATGGGGCTTGGGGGGCAGGACAGGGTTTGGGGGGATCAGCGTGGGGCTTGGGGGGCAGGACAGGGTTTGGGGGATCAGTGTGGGGCTTGGGGGGCAGAACATGGTTGGGGGGTCAATGTGGAGGTGGGGGCAGGGCCGGGTTTTGAGGGGTCAGCATGGGGCTTAGGGTAAGATTTGGACAGGAAAGTCTGGGGGTCCAGTTCAGGTTTTGGGGGGTTAATGCACCGTTTGCTCCCACACTCGCTGCACACCCTGGTCTGCCCCTTCCCCCCCCACCCCCACCACCTGCCAGCACATTCCCTCCTTGTCAAATCAGGAGCAACGCCCTCAACTAGCAGAAGGGATGATTTGCATATTTATATATGCAAATGAGACACCCCCACAGACTGCTGCACCGTGTCTTGCATGGCCTTCGTGCCTGGCACAGCCCAGGTGGGAGGAGGGCGCAGGGAACAGAGCGACCCATTTTATCTCCCTTGCCCAGGAATCGAACCAGCAACTGGGCTGCGGGGGGACATAGATGGGGCAGCTGACTCAATGCCCCCCTCCCCACTCCGGGAAAAACATGCTTTGAAAGCTCTCAGGGCCCAATCCTGGGTTCTCAGGATAAATTGAGGGTAACCCCTGTAAGTAGACAAAGGGGAAACCGAGGCACGGAGAGGGTGGAGCCAGGAGTAGAACCCAGGATGGCAGCGTCATGCCCTGGACGGAGCGCTGTTGGCTCTGTGCTGCATTATGGCCAGGGAAGGGGGCAGACCCCGGGTACCCCCGGCAGAGGGGCCGGTGCCCTACCGGATAAGAGGTTACTATTGCTGCCTGCTAGGGGGGTGCTCTGCCACTGCAGGGCTGGAGGTTGGGAGCGCAGACCCAGCCCGGGGTGGGTGTGGGGCAGGGGGCATCGACCCCGGTAGAGCGAAACTCTGGACCCCCACCCTGTACCACAGTAGGCAGAGCTGGGCACCGTGGGCACGAGGGGGCGCTGAGCCCTGATTCCAGCTGGGGAAGTGCGGGGGAATGGCGCTGGGGGGGGGCTGCTCCAGGGGGCCCCAATGGGCTGGTGCCTTGGCACTGCTCTGCGGCCATGTGGGGGGGTCTGGGCTAGCAATGCGCGTTGCCCCCGCCCTGGATGCAGGGGGCTGCCCATTGCGGTGCAGGGCGCAGAGCGTCTCAGCGGGCAGGCGAAGGGCTGGTGTCGCCCGAGGCTGGAGCTCGGTGCTCCCTAAACCCTCAGGACCACACGGAAGGGTGAGGGGAGGGTGGTGGATGGAAAGGGGGTGGCTGGCCTGGGGGACTGGCATGGGGGCGGCTAGCCCGGGGGGCTGGCTGTGCTGGGATATGGGGCTGGCATGGGGGGACTGGCCCGGGGGGGCTGGCTGTGCCCGGGAGGTGTAGGTATCC